CTTGATGGGTGAGGTGTCATTAACTACCTCATCCCTGGGAGGAAAGCCCGGTTTTCAACAACTGTCAAACTGTCAGAATATCATCAGAGTGGGGGCCCTATGGCTCTCTGGAGGGATGCTGTTATAAACAGTGGGTGCTGCAACAGTTTCCTAGGGCCTGACAGATGCTGTTTAACTGAAGGGACCTGGAACATGCCTAGTCTGTTGAATCTTACTGGGTGGGGAGATGCTATTGAAGATGGATGTTCCCTCAGATAAATTAGCCCCAGATGGAATTTTTATCCGCACACAAAAAATACTTTTCAGATTTAATAGGCCTTCAGTCTTATAAACACTTGAAACTTCCACTGAAATCAAGATTTTACTGTAATATAATGTTCATGTCATGTAAAACCCAAAGATCCTCACAACGCAGGAAACAAGTCTGGTTTACAATTAAAGAGTTTACTTTGAAAGCATTTGCAAAGGCGGCCTCTGCGTCTCTTCCCAAGGTGGATTTTTTTTAAAAAAGTTTTTTTTATTTTAATTAAAAACACAAAAAAAGAATCATCCTTCATTACATCTTGTAGAAAGCGTGTCGATTGGTTACAGATAACNGATGTGTCCTGCACTGCCCATACCCAGTTTAGCGAAGGAGAAAAGTCATGATACATCATGTAATGACGCTGTGACGATACAAGAGTGGCACCTCTTATCTAAAGCAGGGATTTTCAGACTTGGCAACTTTAAGACTTGTGGACTTCAAGTTCCAGAATTCCACTCCCAGTTCTGTGAATTGAAGTCCACAAGATTCAAAGTTGCCAGCTTTAGAGACTCCTAATCTAAAGCTATGCCAATGAGCTCTTTTGAGGAGAGTTATCCTTGGTTCAGTGGTAGGTTCCGGCAGGCACTACTGCTGGTTTTCTCATGTGCACGATGTGCATGCGCCCTTCACATGCTTGATGTGTGCACTGCGCGCATGCTCAGTGCTATTAAAATTGTTCTGCGCATGCACAGAACTGAAAAACAAGATGGTAGCACCTACGACACCACCCGGAGAACCAGCTCGTGGGCGTGGCACGTCTGGGTCACTGCCGAACCGGTCCGAACAAGTGGGAACCCACCACTGCCTTGGTTCCACAAAATTGTGGCCTTGGGGTGTGAAATATCACAAAACAAGTGGATGAAATTGCTTTCTGCTACCATGACTGCCTAGGATATCTGGTTTTTCCCCCTCTTTCTAATGGCCATCAAGTTGTTGTCACCTCTTATTTTGTTTCCTCAAAGCCTCCATAGAAATGCATCTGGAGGTCAAAACCCTTTTTTGAACATGAAGATGGCTGGGATTGTTTTGCAATCCCCCAGTTTCCCACCAACATATATTAAGTAGGACAAACACTAAACAGGTTGTGCAGGTGCAACTGCACTGATGATGACCATTAAAGCTTGAATTAGGCTTGCCCACAACTTCACATAGGCATCAGCATACATCTATGTTGCAAAGGGGTTGATGGATAAGCATAGGTGCTGCAGATCATTGCAGACAGGCCAACGTGCACACCTCCTAAATCTCAACTATGCATTATGTGGAGATACGTATGCTGCATGCTGATTGGTTGATCTGACTTCTCGTTGGGAAGCTTTTTTGTTTGAGTGCTCCCTAGCCAGAATATTAATGTTTGCATACGTATAAATGCAACAGCTATGCAACCGAATGATGGACAGATAGGTCCTCTGAGGTGCAGTGATGCAGAAGTCAAATCATGACTTCAGAGTGAATGGAGGGTTGCAGGGATGGCAGCTGGGGGTTCTCAGGGGTTTGGGAGAACCTGTAACTTTATGTGCAGTTCAGAGAACCTCCAAATACCACTTTTGGCTAGCCCCGCCCACCCCACCCCACCCCTCCCAAGAGTCCTCACGCGGCCTGTTTTGGATGCAGGTAAGTGCAGGGCACATGCGGGGCTTGGGGAAGGTAAAAATGGGCCTACTGTAAGTTCAGGAAGCTCACTTCAGGCCTCCAGAGGGCCTCTGGAGCCTAGGGAGGGCAAAAGTGCCCCCCTCCCCACTGTGATGCTGGATGCCAACTAGGCCATGCCCACCATGGCCACACCCATCCAGCAACCAGGCAGACAACCCCTTGCTAAAAATTTTG